TGAAATAATCGAGATAAAAAGTCCAAACCCGATAGGATTCTGTTACGATATTGAAGGTTGGTATTTTCGATGGGCGCAATCGGATTTGTACTTTCGGAGATTTTCAATTTTGTGTGTAAAACTATTTTATTCGATGTCGCAAAAGCTACTCAATCGATTTCACTCAATTTTTTTGTGATACAAGATCTATGCGCGCGCTCTCGCGTGGGCTGATCTGATCATTTGTTGACATAAAGAAATGCCATTCATTGAATTTCATTTTCTCATGAATACCTTATAAATATTGATAATGAATCAAAGAGAATTCCGACTAATGATTGAAGTGAATAGCGAAGTAGAGTAAAAGAATCTATAAAGAATTTTTCATTTTCAATTAATTATCTTCAATTTTTTAAAATAATCGGTCTCCATAAAAGGACAGAATTTACTAATTTCACCGATGATATATATACACATGATATATATATATGAATAATTCAAATTTCTTGAAAGGGGATTTTCGATTACACAAGTAATCATCGATCTTCCTAACTCGATTATTGATTGATAAAATAGTTGAAAATTTGAATATTTGAATTGATGATATTTAAGTGCTCAAAAAATTTCAAGAGTGATGTTATCTAATTGATGCTACAATATTTACCCCTAATAAAATATTACAAATTTGGCTATCCCTGTTCCCGACATGAAGCAATGCATCAGAATTTTTTCCCCCCAAAAAATGCGTCATTATTTTCGCTAATTATTTTCCATGAGCCAAAAGTAGTGACTGAACACTCTCCCTCGAGCTTAAAAACTACCATCAACATCGTAAGCGCCAACTCACACGCGTGTTCCAAGCCCGTTCCCACGATTGTAGTAGGTGGGAGAGGTTTTTCAGCCGATAAAATGACGTTGGCACACTCTTTCCGATTCAGTTGCCTGTGGCAAACCGCGGGAGAACACTTCTCTCGATCTAACGTTTGTTTTGTGCTCGTATCAGACTTGTGGACAGTTGTCGAGTGATATCAGGGTTCATTAACCTGCGGAAGGTGTCTTTACGTTCGTTGAAAAATCATAAGTAGATATGTCTAGCAGTGTCTGCCATGCGCCAATGCCCCCCAGGATCGAGGCTTTTACCACTAGACTCTGTTTGAGGGCTGTGGACCAGTACGAGAGACTGTTCCAGACTCATTTCAGCAAGGTACAGGGCTCATTCGTATGTGTCGGGTGGATCGATATCAGGGGTTTCAACATTTCAGTGAAAACGTTCAGGAATTCATCTCGTGGAACTAGAGTTGAAGAGTGATCGCCTGGGAATTCCGTGTGTTCAGCTCTCATAACTTTTTTTACATTTTTTTTTACAAGAAAAATCGGTTGCAATTACCCCTGCAGTGGGAGAAAAATCAATGGCTCGTGGAACAACAAGTTTTGCCGAAGTAACAAAGTTATTGGAATAATTCAGCAGCGAAGCGGCAGAACGGTTCAAGTCGACTTGGCTCTTAGCTGAGTTCTCGAGGAATATCCCCGAATCTAAGGGAGATACCGGAATTTTCGTTATGACCTTTTTTGGAGGGCGGATTGAGTGCTACAAAAAAGGTTATGACAAAAATTTTGATATCTCCCTTAGATTCCGAGAGATGTATTGAAAACTGATCAGTCGTCAAAAGCGACTTGGACCGTTTTACCGCTTTACTACTGAATTATGCCAAACACTTACAAATAAGTTATTTCATTGCTTTTTTAGTTCGAAATGCAAGATAAATGAATTTGGAGAAACGCAAAAAATTTTCGGGGGTCGGGTTTGAACCCACGACCCTTAGGTTTCCAGTCTGAGACTTTATACACATGGATATCCACTGGAAATTTTTGTTGTAGTATTTTATAGAATAAGCACTACCGTTGAAGTATTTGGGACAACATATTGTAAAAATCTGGAAAACGCGATAGTTGATTTCATACTGGCACGAATTATTGTTAAAAAATTTATATTTTACTTTTAATATAAATTTTCATAGTTTTTCAACTCCAAATTCTAGTGAAAAATTGTAAAATACGAGTTCTACTTTGCAAATTTCATGAAAGAACACTATTTTTAAACATTGTCAATGGAAATTTTCGAAAAATCATCGCAATAGTGCATCGAAAAAATTTATTCTTGAATAAAAAATTAGAGGAAAAAATGATACACGAAGGAAATGAAATGAAATAAATTTTGACAATGAACATTTTTTGAATACACGAAATTACTAAAATTCAGCGTTGTTTCACCAGATTTTTGGGTTATTTAAATTTTCTGGGTTATTTAAATTTTTTTGAAAGGGATTAACGACTCAGAATGCTCAGAGATTTTATTGTAGTTCTACTTTTTATACGATTTTCCGAATTTTTTATTCATTCATTCCGGTCACGTTTACTTTGAGCTACTCTGGAGAATGTTAACGGTCCTCTGCTGTAATGTAGGTTGATCCCTCGTGCATGTGTGTCAGTACGTGGGTGGCGGGCAATTGTTGATTTGTGGGAATTAAAGAGAACACGTGAAGATAATTAACGTTTGTGGGATATTTGTGTAAAAATGAAGTGGTTAATTGTGAGGAGTGTAACTTGATGATCCCGGTAATTGTGAGATGTTTACGTTGATCGTGAAATTCTCTATGAAAAGTGTCTCATGCTATTTTCTTGTTAGTCCATTCGTCATTGAGATAATTTAAAAATTAACGGAAGTCAATCAAAATGAAATTTTCCTGAAATCAAAGTTGATTAAACGTGAATTAGCTCTATAGCGAGTGGTTTCAAGAGAAAATATCGAAGAATGTTTTCTATAGCTAATTAAATGTTGTATTAAATTTCTTGAGGGCCGTCTGACCCTTAAAATCCTCAATACCAGTTGACCTTTAACTTCAAACGTCTTCGAAGGACATTTGACCCTCAAAGCCATTTGATTCTTAATCCCAAACGTTCTTAAGAATTGTTTGACCCTCAAAATCAACTGACCCTCATCTTCAAACGTTCTTAAGGTTCGTTTGACCCTCAAAACCTGGTGACCGTTAGTGCTGAACATTCAGAAAGGTTTTTTCACCCTTGAGACTATTTGACCCTCAACTCTAATTGTCCTTCAAAATCGTTTGACCTTCAAAACCATTCGATCCTCCACCTAAAACGTTCTTAAGGGTCGTCTGAATCCTTGAAACCCTCAACGGCAGACGTCTTTGAAGGTCATCTGACCCTGAAACCCATTTAAACATCAACCGAAAAAAAATCCCATAATTCTCCTGAACAGTTCTGCCTCTAATATTCCATGAACAACCCCTCATCAAGATAAATCAACGTTGAACAAGTCATGAAAAATCTACTAATTTTCCTTCAGTCACCACTTTACAACCTAATCCCACTAATGATAGGAAAAAAGATGAAGAAAAAACTCTCAATAAACTCCGAGAAAATATTAACGACCACTCAGCCCATTTCAACATCCAATAACTCTCCGAAGAAGCCTCGAGATAAATTCCAAAAATCATAATTGAATATTACAAAATAAAAGAAATAAGACGACTTTTACATTTTTCAATTACCTCGAAACGACAAATGTAACTCAGCAAATACGACTTGAGACCCTTATCCGCCGTCTAAATATGCTCTAGATAAAGGAAAAAAAATGGCGAGGAGCGTGGAGGGGGCAGAGAGAGCGACAGCCGCGTGTTTGAGATTAATCGCCCTGACGTAAATGAAACTTGTGGATTATCAGACAGTCAATTGGACTGACAACGCGTGTAATGTTGTTGCAAAACGAGTTTTTGGGGTCTCATTTATTCCATCCTTCTCAGCATCCTCGTTCATGCTCGTTAATCTTTGCACAGCATAATCTCTCCGCTATTTATGTCGCGATGAGGAAACAATTCATTTAAAAAATGGTTATCAGGCGATCTAATCGCGAAGCAGTTTCGGCACTTTCGGATTTTATTATTAAACCACGAGAGCGTTGCAACCGATTCGATAATTAATTCCGTGGCGTCTTATTGGCCGTTTTATTACTCAATTTAAAACTTTGTCACAATAAGGAAGTGTGTCCTTCTGAGACGCTCGAGCGGAAGTGACCCGTATTTCGAAATTTGCCTTCGAGCTAAGGTCCTTGGGGGGAGGATTAAGTGGAATGTCACGTTGAATCAATTTATCATGAGAGCGATGATTGGAGGGGGAGGGAAAATTAGATGGAGAGGGAATTTTTTCACTTTATCCCTTATTTTTCTCTAAGAAAAAGGTTTGTTTTGTATTGAGGGCAAAATGAAAGAATTTGGAAATTTTTAGTTTTGTTTAAATTACCATTGCGTATGTTTGGAGTTGAGAGTTACAGGGTATTGAGGGGTAAATCAGTAGCGAAGCGGTAAACCGGGTTAAGTCGTTTTTTACTATTGGCTAGTTTTTGACGAATATCTCGGAATCTAAAAGAGATAGAAAGATTTTTGTCATGACCTTTCTTGTAGAGCCAATAGAGCGTTATAAAAAAAGTCATGAGAAAAATTTTGCTATCTCTCTTAGATTCCGAGATATTCAGCAAAAACTGGCTAATAGTCAAAATCGACTTGACTCGGTTTGCCGCTTCACTACTGAAATGAACCCTGATGTTTGGAATTCAGGGTCAAATGGTCTTGAGGGTTAAATGACCCTTGAGGAGGTTTGGTGTCGAGGGTGAAATAGTCTTGAGGATTAAACAAATGTTGAAGGTCAAATGACCCTCAACTCAAAACGTGCTGAACGTCTTTAAGGAACGTTTAGTGTTGAAAGTCGAACGGATTAGACCCTTACGCCCATTTGACCCTCAACTCCAAACGTCCTTAGCGGTCATTTGACCCTCAGGACATTTTCTCACAATTCCCGTATCTCCATTAAATTCCGAAATGTCTGATAGAAACTGAAATAAAATTACAAAAAAAAAATAATCTTCTTTCGCTCCTTGTCCATTGAACCCTCGATGAAGATCATTTGAAAAACTTAAATCCTCTAATTAATGCCATTAATTGCAGCCAAATAAGAGCCAAAGAGGCCAACAAAGGGTGAAACAGCAGAATGACCCCTCACCGACTAGGCAAGAACGAAAAGAGACGAGCAGGGATGCGGCAGGCTCATATACAGCCATTAGCGCATTTCGTCAGTGGAGGAAAAACGAGCGCACGACCATCATCGGTAATGCAACAGCAAGCTCCTCTAATCAACTCGCTAATTCACATACCACCAAGATGGAACTCTTTCCACTTGTTCTGTCAGACACTACTATGCCTGAAGAGGACTTGTCGTTGAAATTTCTCGCACTCGTAAGTGGAATCAATGACGTTTTTTATTTATGAAAATTTGGAGAAATTTTCTTAAATTGCTCTCAAATTATTGGACAAATATCAGAACTTCTGGAAAACTCGGAGAAAGCGGGACAAAATGAAATACCAGGAAAAACGACTATTTAGGGAGCATTTTTTTTCAACAGACATTCTCGAATATTCAAAACATTTTTTTTGTAGTGCTAAATTATAAATACCTTATCAACATATGTTGTACAAGGATTTTGTTTTTCGATTTTCTGTTGACGGTTGAATAGATTTGAGGGTGAAACGACCCTTGAAGACATTTGAAGGTGAAGATCAAATGATCTTGAGGGTCAAAGGACACTTTAAGACGTCCGAAGTTGAAGGTTAAATGATCTTGAGATTCCAATAACCCTTAAGGACGTCTAGAATTGAGGGCCAAATGATCTTGAGGGTCAAATGACCTATGACAACGTTTAGAGATGAGGGTCAAATGACAGAAATGCTTATATTTGGGGAAGTTAAGAGTTGATTTATTCTTGAGAGCCAAACGACCCTTTAAATCATTTGCAGTTGAGGGCTCAATTATTCTTAGGGGTCGAAACGGCCCTTAGAGAGGTTTGCAGTTGAGGGTCAAACAAACCATAAAGTCATTTGGAGATGAGAGTTAGGTTATTCCTGAGGGTCAAACGATTCTTACGAACATTGGAGTTGAGGAACTTACGAGGACATTCAGAGATGAGGGTCAAATTATTTTTGAGGGTCGAATGACCTCTAAGGAAGTTTGGAGTTGAAGGTCAGAGTATTTTCGAAGGTGAAACGACTCTTAAGGGCGTTTGAAGAGAACAGTGAAATTGTCTTGAGGATCGGAAATTTGGGGATAAGGGTCAAATTCTTGAGGGTCAAACACTCAAAACGTCAAAGAACCCTTAAGGACGGTTTGAAATTGCGGCTTAAATCGTCTTGAGGGTCAAACGACTCTTAATACCATTCAGGATTAAGGGTCAAAGAATTCTGGAGGGTCAAACGACTCCTAAGAAAGGTTGGAGTTGGGGATCAGTTGGTCTTGAGGGTCAAGCGACCCTCAATATCATTTCAAATTGAGGGTCCAATTATTAACGATCCTTAGGGACGTTTGAAGATGAAGGTCAAATTACTTTTGACGGTCAAATGGCCCTTAAGGACGTTTGGAGCGGAGAGTCAAATCGTCTCGAGAGTCAAACGACCCTTGAAAACATTCTGAGTTAAGGGTCAAATGACCCTGAAAAACATTTCGAGTTGAGGGTCAAACGACCCTTTGGGACGTTTGGGAATGAAGGTCAAATTACTTTTGACAGTCAAATGACCCTTAAGAACGTTTGAAGTGGAGAGTCAGATCTTCTTGAGGGTCAAAAACCCTAGAGACCGTTCAGACTTGAGGGTCAACTGGTATTAATCAAGGGTCATTTGACCCTTAACCCTACACGTCATTAAGGATTATTTGACCCTCAAATAAAAAAAAATCTCAATTCTCCTAAGTAATTATTTTTCCTGGTATTTCCCCTAATAAATAGCTTGGTAACATAACAAATACAATCTCTAAATTCTCTCAATCCTCTCCAGAACGCTCTAGACCTGACAGCTCCAGCGAGCGACATTCTCCTCAAGAACCGTCTAAAATCCTGGTTCCAGCTCTCGGGTCACCCAGACGGTTTTGCCCCGGCTGGTCCAGGAACTGTCTGGAAGCGTCGAACAGGGGGAGCCGAGAATACCGAACGAACAGTCTACGAGACCCTCTCCAAGGACGAACAAATGAGTAGCTTCGTTCCCAGGTACTACCGAGAGGTCCAGTACAAAGGGGACACCTTCATCGAGCTCCAGGATCTGCTGTTCGGGTTCAACGATCCCCACGTGATGGATATAAAACTGGGCACGAGGACTTTTCTAGAGTCTGAAGTCTCCAAAACATCGGAGAGACCGGATTTGTACGAGAAGATGATCGCGGTGGATCCTGATGCTCCGACGACTGATGAACACAGGAATAAGGCAGTGACGAAGATGAGGTACATGCAGTTCAGGGAGGAGCAGAGCTCGACCTGCAGTCATGGGTTTAGGATCGAGGCGATGAAACTGCCTGGGGGACCTCCGATCACTAATCTCAAGACTGTGAAGAGTCATGGGGCTGTTACCGATACCATGAGGCTTTTTTTGGGGAACAGGCGACACATCTGTGAGATGTTGCTGGAGAAGCTGAGGGACTTGAGGGCGAGAGTCGAAGCTTCAACATACTTTCAGACTCATGAGGTGGGTCTCAGGGGGACATTTATTAGTGTTTGCTTTCAAATGGAGGCTTTCTAAAAAATTTTTAGTTTTTTTCTCAAATTTTTTTTGTAAGGGAGCTATGGAATGTCGTGATTTTTTTCATGACTGTGGACTTTAATATGCTCCATTTATTGACATAAATTAAAATTCAATTTTTTGACAGGACGAAATAATACGCAAAAATTTTGATGACATTTCAATTGATGATAGTACTATGACACGAAACAATAGAAGAGGAGAATAATGAAATAAGAATTAATAGAGAGAATCCATTCGGAAGCAAATTGCGAATAAAACAATGATTAATCCTTGATTAATCCCCCCCTGAAAACTTATCGATAAAAAAATTAGTTGTCGTCAATAACTGTCATTATTATTTGCCAACAGGTAATAGGCAGCAGTATTTTCATGATCTACGACGAAGAAAAGGTCGGCGTCTGGCTCATAGATTTCGCCAAGACATATCAAGTGCCTGAGGGTAAACGACTGACTCACAGAACAGCCTGGGAGCAGGGAAATCACGAAGAAGGTTTCCTCCTCGGTCTGGACAATCTCATCTCCATCATCGAAGAGATCCAATCCTCCACGTGATAACGAGCCCGTCACCCATCGCCTCTCGAAAAGAGAATAAACAAACATTTGCTGTTCCTCGTGAGTCAGCTGCCACCGAACTCTATAAGGAAAATTGTAAAAAAATCTCGAGGAGAGATCGCACCTAAATTTGTAAATCGTTGGTGCCTTCGTCTCTCGTACGGGTGAATTCACTACTTCAGTTTTTATGTTAGAAAATGAGAAAGAATTAGGTCTGACGTTTTTACTGATCTGAAAGATGCTTCAGAGGAACAAAATCTTCCAAAGTGGTCGCATGACCCAATTCTGTATATGATCTGCACACTGACATAACTAAATGAGTTATGAATATCATCAACAATAATTTTTCATCCCAAAAATAGTCATCGAATCTTAAATCATTGACAAAAATTGTAGAATTGAAAAGTCATAACAAACGGCTGAGGAGATGAAGTTTTTCTTTGAAGAGTTATGAACGGTTGAATAAATTTACGTGAAATAAGTAAATGAGATTTTTGGAACTTTTTTTTTTTGTTTTTGGAACTTTTCCAGATTTTCACCTGCGGAAATTCTGAGAAAACATTCTGAAAACTCAAAAAAAAAGATTTTTATATATTCAAGTTAATCGATTGAGAATGGCGTCATGAAGACGCTTTTGATAGTTCTATCAATAAAAAAATATAAAAAAGATGATTTTTTCTTATTTTTTTACGTTAAAAGTGAAGTAGTAAACTCATCATGTGCTTAAGATAGTCACTGAAAAATGTACAATCAACAATGATTATTTTTGAAATTGTATAGAATTTTTTAAATGAAAATTTATCTGCTCTAAGGATGCCAAAAAATCAGCTGCTTTTTTATGATTACATTGTAGGATAAGATTCATATGGATTAATGTACAAAGGCTGCCTAGTGATAAAAAGTATTATGTACGACATACAATTTTTATAACAGAAGAGTTCTGGGCTTTTATTTATTCAAAACCCACACATACCAAATTTATATTAATTTAAATCTGTCTCGAAATATCTCGAAAATCTCGAATAAGCGTAAGCGTAAGACTGAAATTCCTGCGTGATGTAAAATCCAATGGAAACTGTGATATATTTTACATTATGAATATGGAAAAATAATCGAAATAACGTGCGAAAGATAATCCAGTCGGGCCTTAAATCAAGTTTATCATATACCATTCACTATTCGCTAAAATGATACGTAGCTATATCTGCCTAGTCCACTTAGGAGCATCGAAAAATCTAACCAAAGTTAATTTTCCAAGTGAAACATGAACATTCAATTTTCACCTAAAACTCTCGTAAGTTAATGAAAAACTGTCACCATTGGACAACTCGGGTCTCATTCTAAAGCTTATTTAATAAGCTGTAAAATGAGTACATTGAATGCGCGGTTTATGAAAAAGGAAGAAGGACTTGAGCGTAGAAACCAGAGAAAAACCTTAATTACGGACACGGATTTTTCTATAGGGGAAGTCAAATTCAATGTTTTCTTCAAAAATTTTTCATTCCGCCGCACTCTCTGTATGTTTGGCACAAAAAAATCCTTTTTTGATCATTTTCAAAAAAATATTTTCTTGGCATAAGTAAGACTTGTTTGAAAACCGTCGTTTGTCTCTCAGTGTAGCTACAAATTTTTGGTTAAAACTTCCTACGATCTCCCTGAAATTTTTTTTCTGTCTGAAATTTAACGTAATTTCATTATGAAGAGTTCGAAATTTAATAAAAAAATCAATGAAAAATGTAAATGGCAGTGCAAATATTCCACGAAAAGAAATAGAAAAATTAGGTTAATCAAAAAATTAACAAATGAAATTGAAAAATCTTTTTCTGAATTTTAATTAATTAGTTGTTGAAATTCAACAACTGGTTGGTAATTCATTTTTTCAACAACTAGTTGTCGAAATTCACCAAATTATTTTCTCCGTGTATCATCACCATCATCATGTATGCGATTTCTCTTCCAGACATTTACCAATAAACGTATGACATCTCCTTTTTTTTAAAAAGCTATTCCATAAAAAATACCAACTCCACCGCCGCTCCTGCAACCCGCCCGCCCCTCTAAAGCCCCAATTTCCCGCCAAAAAAATCCCCAATCAAAAAACTCTCGCCCCTCCCACCAGTGGTCGCCACAATCGGCCCGACGCTGCGGCGTCCCGTGTTCTCTGTGCGTCCCTGACGGTAAATTCGCACCGGAACATACCCGGGAAAAAATAATACGCCACGAGCTCCCACCAAACTCCCAAATCCCCCGAGAGTCCCCAGAAAACCGTTGTCACGTTAAAAAAAAATTCCAAAATCGTGAAAATCACGTGAAAAAGTGGTGAAACCGTCGAGAAAGGTTGAAAAAACTTGGGCATTGTGAGCGCTAAAGCGGAAGTGAAGCCGACGTAGCCCCTGGGGTTGCGTTTGGGAATTCGACGATTGCACCGAGAGCCGAGAGAGAGGTGGGAAGTGAGTGCCATCTTGGATTGAGTGCGAGGCATCGGCGGCTTTTTTCGGTCTTTTCGTTGACGAGTTTATTATTCGCTGAGTTTATTAATCTTGGGGGGAAGACACAACTGTTGGGGTTGAGCCATCGAAAATGCTATTGCACGAGGATTATTGTACCTTGGTTGTTGACAGAAGAATCCGGCCAGTTGAATACTAACCCTTTCAGTGGATTCCAACCACGTCTGCAGGGGTTTTGAGCAATAACTTCGGCATTGTTGTACGTTATCACTGGATTTTTGGGATTGTTCGATTGATTGTTGGGTTTTGTGGGGCTTTTTTTCTTGGTGTTGGTGCGGGGCGGAGGGAGGGCTTCATTTGTTTTTGGGGAAAAGGGCTGGGGCAGGGGTTTGATTGGGGGTCTTGGGATGTTTTTGGGGGTTGGGGATCGGTGATGGGCTGGAGATTGTGCTGATGGGCTTTTGGTTGCAGGGATCGGAGAGGGGATTCAGAGAGGATTGGAGGTACTGGGCAAGATGGAGGGTGACGATGGCCCCGTGGTCATCAACAACAATCCCAGCGTGATCAAAGGTATGGGGGCCTCGGTTTCGGGGGGCTGTTGGGGTTTCCGGACAAAGAGAATTGATGAGTTGGTGGATTTTTCGGGATTCGGAGGAGATTTTAGATGAAAATCAGAGGGAAAAGTTGACACCATTTAATGATATTGTTCTTAAATTCAAAGTTTTTAGAGGTTTAGAGAGGAATAGAGGCAGTAGTTTTGAATGCAAGTCTGTTGATTAATTCTGTTGAATAATTCTAGGGATAAGTGAAATTTGAAGTGATTGTAAGAAGATTTTCAACAGGATATCAGGACGAAATAGCTGGAGCTCTTGGTAATTTTTTGCAGAATCAAGTATAGGTGTGCTTAAATTGAAATATACTTGATAGTATTTTAAGGAAATCTTGGGTATTGAAGTCAGAAAATTTAGGCTAGGAAGATTTTCCATAAAAATCAGACGAAAAACTGTGTATCTCAGTCAATTTTACTTGGATTAAAAAAATTGTTTTGGTTTAGTTTCCTATTGTAAAAAGGAGAAAGATAGAGAGAAAACGAGTCTCTGGGTTTCAGAAACAGTGTAGGGATTCCAGCAATTTGTTGGGAGATTTTATCTGAAAATAAGAGCAAAAAGTCCCGATTCTTGGAGGTTTTTAGGAGAATCAAGACACATTTGATGTTATTTTGAAGAAATTTTAATTTCTAAATTCAGAATATCATAATTTTCAAATTGAGAAAATTTTTCTTTGTGAATGAATGATTTAGAGAGCTGAAGAGTCGATAGTTTTGAGTGGAAATCTTAATTCCAGAAGTTTTTGGTATTAAAAGTTAGCGAATAAATAATTCTGGGGATAAGTAAAATGTTTAGTGATTGTAAGAAGATTTTCCCTGAAGATTAGATTAAATAGCTAGAACTCTTGGTAATTTTTTGCTGAATCACGTATGGTTGTGCTTGAATTGAAGTATACTTGATCATATTTTAAGGAAATTTTGGGTCTTGAATTCAGAAAAATTAATCTAAAAAGATTTTTCATAAGAATCAAATAAAACAGTTCAAATTTTTGGTAATTTTTTATTGAATCCAGAAGTATAATAGATTTTTCATAAATGACTTCTTGAAACAATTTATGAAGAATCTCTTCAAAAATCACTTTTCTCAAAATACTGAAAAATCTTTCCACAATTTTCCATATTCCACAGTCATCCTTACTTCAAATAAACAAAATTGTTACATTCTTTCAGTTTTTTATTAATTAATTAATTATTCTGTGCTAAAACTTTGGAATGCAATAATTCCATTCAAAACCCAATTTTTTTTCTCATCTCTTTTAAAACCTCAAGACTAGGAAAGATTTCTTCACGCCAATTAGCCCACGAAAAATCTCAAAATAAAAATGTAATCTCAAAAATGATTGCAGCTGCTCAAGAGGAGATGGGTCGCCTGGACGTGCTGGTCTGCGGGCAGTGTCACTCAGTATTCCACTTTATCGAGCAGTTCCAGGAGCACCGCTCCAAGGAGGGTGCCTGCTCGAAGACCTCCCACTTCCGTGACAACGGTAACAACGAACAAAAGGCCCAGGTATGGGCATTCCTCCTGTGGAAGGACTCCCAGATCCAGCAGGAGGGCTCAGACAAGGACTCCTCCAACTCCTGGAAGCTCTACCAGAAGTGGTGCAAGATGGAGGCGAACATCAGGGAGTCGTGGGTGACAGCTGGCAAGACCATTCAGAATTTCACGAGAATCAGCAATGCCAAGATGCAGGAGGCACCACGTCAGATGCAGACGACAGATGGAATTAAATCGACAGTTGTTGTTCGAAAAGTCATAAGAAATGGTCAGCCCGAGGACAACGAAACCAAGAAGACGATGAAGGCTGATCCAGCGAAGCCAGAGCCCCAGCAGCAGTCATTCCTGGAGAAGAAGCCCCTTCAGCCACGTCCCAAGACCTTCGTAAAGCCCAAAACAAAGCCAGGAAAAGCACCTGGTGAAGAGGAAGAGGAGAATCAGGAGGAGTTTGCTGTCGAAAAGATCATGGCAAAACGATACAACACGAAGAAGAAGTGCGCTGAGTTCCTTCTCAAGTGGGAGGGCTACACCACAGAGCACAACTCGTGGGAGTCTGCTGAGGTCGTCAACACTTGTAAATACCTTCTGGAGGAATTTGAGAGGAATTTGGCGAAGCAGAAGGAGCTTAAGGAACTGAAGGCTCAACAGCAGCTGCAGATGCAGCAGCAGCATCAGCAGGGAACTGTCACGAAGGTTGTGGCAAGGCCTGTCATTCAGAAGACGTTGATCAAGCCTGAGATCAGCAAACCTGGACCTAGTACTGCTGCTCAAACCGTCAGGCCTATGAGGTCCAGCAAGTCCAAGGCGATGGATCAGGTAAGGATTTTTGTGGGATTTATTTAACTGGGAGACGTGGCTTGTCATGGTATGCGTTCGTTGATCAACCAGTTGGGGACTAAATTTGGAGAACAAGGTTCAAGGGGATTTCATGGTTTTTTGAAAATAATATTGAATTTTATGAAAATGACAAATTAACAGTCGAGTCGGTCTTTCACCTGTTGTCAATTATCGATTTGTTTTGGTAATGGGTGATTTCAGGAGACAATGTTAGGAAATTGAAGAACTTTTGGAGGTGAGGATTAAGTGGTTTTTAGGGTCGAGGGTTAAAGGACCCTTAAGTACCTTTGAAGATAAGAGTCAAATCGTTCTCAGGGTCAAACGATTCTTAAAGGCGTTTGGAGTTCTGGGTCAAATGGTTTTGAAGGTCAAACGATCCTTAAAGGTATTTGGAGTTGAGGGTTAAATAATCTTGAACGCCGAACGACCTTTAAAGAACATTTGGACGTGAGGGTCAAATGGTTTTGAGGGCCAAACTAACTTTAAGGACTTGAAGCTGAAAGTCCAACGAATTTTAAGGACGGTAGGAAGTGAGAGTCAAATAGTTTTGAGCGTCAAACGATCCGTCTGGCATTTGGAGTTGAGGGTCAAATGGTTTTGAATACCAAACGATCTTTAAAGAACGTCAAACAAACTTTCAGGATGTTTAAAGTCGAGGGTCTAATGGTTGTTTGATGGTTAAACGAAAATTAAGAACATTTGGAGGTGAGGGTCAAATAGTTTTGAGAGTCAAACGATCGTTAAAGGCGTTTGGAGTTATGGGTCAAACGGTTTGAAGGTCAAACGACTCTTAAAGGACATTTGAAAGGTCAAATAACTCTTAAGAACGTTTGGAATTGAAGGTCAAATAACCCTTAAAGCCGTTTAGGGTTGAAGGTCCAACAGTTTCGAGGATCAAACGACCCTTGAAGACATTTAGGATTGAGATAAAACAGTATCGAGGGTCAAACGACCTTGAAGGTCGAACGACTCTCAAGAACGTTTGAAATTCAGTGTCAAATAGTTTTGAGGGTCAAAAAACCCTTAAAAACGTTTAGAGTTGAGGGTCAAATAGTTTAGAAGATCAAACGACCCTCAAGAACGTTGGAAGTTCAGTGTCAAATGGTTTTGAGGGTCAAAGAATTTTTAAGAACATAAAATGTTGGTCAAATGAACTTGAAGGTTAAAACCCCTCAAGATAATTGTCATTTGTCCCTCAAAGCAATTCAGCACTCAACTCTACACGTTATTGAGACTCACAATCCCCTCCACAAATTCCACTTTAAATATTTGACACAATCCCATCGATTCATCCAGGTGAAGCAGTGGTGTGGATCCATGAAGGACGAAGAGAGTGATCTCCTGGGAAAAAGGAGAATCGAGTCAACGGATTCTGACTCCGAGGACGCGACAGCTCCTAAAAGACCGAAAGTAGACACTGCAAGTGACGAGGACTGGACCGGAGAGTCCGAGGAGGAGAGGCTCATGGGAAGGAGTGATGTTATTCAGAGGGCATTCAACAGGGCGAATGCCCAGTCCAATGGCTCCAACAAGACTGTTGTGACGACGACAGAAGTTACGACTGCACAGACTCCAGTGCTGGTGGCCAATGCCAAGGGGGTGGTCAAGGTCGATCCCAAGCAGATGGGAGATCTGTCGTCTGGAGTTTACGTTTTATCGAGGAAGGAGGGAATCATCAAATTGGATTCAACGCCCAGTGGAAAGATCTCGGTGAAGGGGGCACCTGGGGGCCAGGGGGTCCTCATGGTCCAGAATAGAGAGGGTGGAACTGTTGTCAGGAAGCAGGTGCTCTCTGCCACACAGGCGAATTCAATCACTCCGGTTAAAGTTGTGTCTAAGGCTGATGGGAGCCAGGTATGTGGGACTTTATTTATTTATTTATTTTCTATTTTTCATGGGTTCACTTGGCAATAAGGCGCCCAAAATTTGCACCATCCATGTAAGATAGGCAGAAAAATTATCCTTAAAATATTTAAAATATATTCTCTATTCTTTCAGAACCATTTTTCGGGCCATGTTAAATGAATGGTGCAATTTTTCATTTAAAATATAACGAAATTAGCTGTGTAGAAGTTGAATTTCAAAATATTAATTCGTAATTGTTATTGCACATATTTTTTCAAAAATTAAAAAAAAAAGAAACCTCTGTAACTCCAAAATTGGAGGCCCTGGACTATTATTAACATTTTAAGCGTCTGCCGGGTAAACGAGCAATAAACAGTTCATTTTTTTGCCCTAATAATACATTTTTAGATATATAGAATCCATCTTCGATGTATCAGAAATCGTATTTCAATAGCCCGTGATTCTTACGACCATTTGATGCCTCCTATGAGCTTCTCCAAGACCATATAACTATTTGATTTGTTTTTAGTTGAGGGTTAAATAACGACGAGGACGATGAGGAGAGGATCAAATGGTCTCGAAGGTCGAAACACCTACGAGACAATCGTCATTTGGCATTCAGGACAATTTGACCCTCAACCCCAAACGTTTTTAATGGTTATTTAACCCTTACGACCATCTGATCGTCAGTTTTTAGTTGAGGGCCAAACGGTTTTGATGGTCACACGACCCTCAAAGACATTTAGGGTTGAGGGTTAAATAATCTTGAAGGTCAAATGGCCCTTAAGGACGTTTAGAATTGAGAATTAAATAGTTTTGAGACTCAGGCGACCCTCAAGGACGTTTGGAATTGAACGTCAAATAATCTCGAGGGTCAAGGAACCCTTGACAACTCTTAAAAACATTCCCTGAATTATGCTAAACATTAATTTTCCCCACCATTTCATTTATCCCTAGGTTCTAATCACCAAAATCATTGGTCCACCACCACCCAATTTTAATGTTCCTCACCTACCAATGAATAAATCGTTATATCACCACATCCAGCAGCTCTAACTGACCTCCTTATCTTGCAGGTCGTGACCCAGATGAAAGTGATCTCCAAGCCAGTGACTACGGCCAAACCGCGCCCCTCTGTCTCCCCAAAAATCGAGCCCATAAAGATTCAGCCAAAGCCCGAGCCCACCCAGATCCAGCCAATTCACCTGGTAACAACAGTCCAGCAACAAGTGGGCATTCAGCCCCGTCTGACCCCGACCCCCATAATCCGCCCGACCCCCCAATCCCCTCAGCCCCCGAAGACCCCGGACTCCCGTCCCCTCCTGCCAAGGCCCACAATCCGCCAGGCCACCCCCACCAGCGTCCTCGGTGTTGCCCAGGTGCGCACCCCAGTGCGAGCACCAGCACCAAAGGCCTCACCCCAGCCTCAGCCACGTCAAGTCCTGACGAAACGAATAATCCCAGCCTCAGCGGCTCCCCAGATACCCCAGGTCAGGGCAAAATACACAGTGGTTAATTCGCAATCAGGCCCAGTGGTAAAAACCCTTCCCTCAGTCCCTCACCCACCAAAACCCACGCCAAAACCCCCAGCAAAGGCTCCCCAGAGTCTCCTGTCACCCCAGCAAAAGCTATTAATGGCGAAACGAAAAGCTCAAGAAGCTGCTGGAGTTGTTGGAGGGATAAAGGCCCCGGGTAGAACCCTGGTGGCCCAGAACAAACAGGTACCAAGGGCTCGAGGGAAGGTGCCAGTGGCCCCTCAAGCCTCAGTGAAACCTAAGGAAACTAAAATAGTTGAAGGTGATGGCCTTCACATGGAGTTCCAGGAGGTGGGGTCTGAGGACAGCTCTGAGGAGCACGAGACACCGGCCCCAGCACCTCAAGCTGAAACAACACAACAGGTGGAGCCTGAGAGCCCCAGACCCTTCACCCTGTGTCCTTTAACTGGAAGGATCATTGGGCCTGATGGTGAGCCCATGGAGACGGGTGAGGGACCAGAGCCTGAACCTGTGAGTTTGACTACAGCAGCTGGACTACAGGCTGTTGTCACACCTGTTACTAGTGCTGGAGGGGTGGTACCTGGGGATTCTGCTGTTGTGAGTGTTGCTGAGGCTACACCAACGACGACTGAATTGATTTTACCTACTTTGGAGTCGTTGGGCGATGCTGGAGGGGTGATGAGGGTGGAGATGAGTCCTGGTGGCACCACTGGAACCATTGTCCAAGGGGAAGGGGGCATCAGTCTGTCTGGTGTTGGTGCTGGCAGTGATCTACCGTGTCTCGATGACACTGTCACAACTGCTGTTAGTTCTAATGTCTCGACTGTTACGACAGCCTCTGGGGGACAGGGAATTGTCACTGAAGGGGTCACCATTCCTACGACTTCAGTGTCAACAGCTACTCCTGGGGAAATTACTTCTGATGTTAAGGAGGAGGAGAGGAGGGTCGAGGATCCATCGAATCTTGTCACTATCACTGGGGAGGATGGGGTGGTCTATCAGGTAACTGGACATGGTGAGGATGGACAAACTTTGTTGGTGACTCGTGGGGCTGATGGGGAACAACAGTGTGTCTATGTCACGACGGATCAGCAGGGTGAGGATGGCTCGGTGCTGACGTTGGATCATGCTGTTGCTGAGGCTGTTGCACAGCTCATTCCTGATCAGGTTAATTTGGGATCGCAGTTCTATGTTAAGGAGGGGGAGGAGACTGCGGGGGAGAATCAGGTCGTCATGTCGATTATGGAGGGCAGTGGGACACAGAGCACCGAGGACTCGGAGGGACAGGCACAGGTGGTGGCACAGGTCGTACAGGCTGATGATCCAACTCCTGGTGAGTAATTTGACATTTATTTGGTTTTTGTTTTATTTTATTTTTTCGTTATTAGTTAATTTCATTATTCTCATGTTATTATTTACTTCTGTTTTTGTTGCATTGACTGATTAGTGCGTTTTAATTGTGCATTTCATTAAAATTATAATGAATTGCGTATTTAATTTAGATTTTTCAATTGAATTGTTGTAAAAAAAATTATGCAATAAATGAAAAATCATTCTGCAAAAATTTTTTCTTACAGTTTATGGAGATAATTTCGTATTTAAAGAAGTAAAAAATTAAGAAAATGTCGATATTGAATTCAAATTTCACAGTCATCAGCGGAAAAAAAATTCCAAGTTCGAATTGCCAACGAATAAGAATTTATTCACAAATTAAATTAAAATTTGAAAAGAATTTATTCGTTCACCTTTGTTCATTTTATTTCACTCACATAATTTGGTTATTCATAAAATTCCTAATTAATAGTAATTGTTGATAAAGAACAATTTGATTATTCTAACGAATTACTTATTGAATTTTTAATTTTTCAATTCAATGAATGTAAAAATTGGGCGAAAACCCATTTAAAAAAATTGTTCATTATTTCCAGGTGGCACTAGACGAGTAGTTCTCCTTCTCCCAGACGGCAACCTGATGATGACAGAAGTAGACGAAGAACAATACGCAGCCCTCGAGCTCGACAAATGAGACGATGAGGTCCCTCCGCAACAATTGTGTAACGACTAAACCTCGTGAACAATGAAGAAACAAATATTGTTGATGTATATATGTAAGAATGTTTCAACCTCGTACCTCGAGGAAAAGGAGAGCCCCAGGGAGAACTTTTTCATCACCTAGACTGTGCAGGTACAAAGCCCCATCCAATTGAAAAGAAACGAAGAAAAAAACCAATTGACCATTTGACGAGGGTGACAGACATCTGAAAAAATCCCACAGAATGAATGAAGAAACTTCATTAATCTAGGCACTAGATTAATAAAACAAAAACGTACTCTAGACGTTTATGTTTCAGTGTATAAGATTAAAAAACAGTTATTTCTTGAGTTTTAATTTTTACTGAATAGTGATTATCATAAAAAAAACATAACAGATATCATATAGAGTCCATCACTTTGCAGATAATAAATGGAGGAGGATATTTAAGTTGAGATGAGGGGAATGTATTTTAAGAGAATTTAGATATCAATCAGAAATTTTATATATTTTCAGAATAACACCAGCTTGAGGAGAATGTTGTTGACAAATTCATTCATTGAAAAAATTTTTTTCATTTGATTCAGATTGAAAAATAAATAATGATGAAACGAGAGAAATAAAATTTATTATCGCAGCTGGTGGCACAAAGTTTAATTAACGAATTGAGGATGACGTATTTGTAGAATGGTATGAAACCAACGGTTACGTTCTTGCGAATGTAATTGCCCTCTCCCGATTAAATTAATGAATCAAATAAATCGATAAGTGTAGTTACTCGATTAATCAATCTCTTTCTTTTATCTTTGAGGATTGTGGGAGGGAGTTCAATTGGAGAGAGAGATTGAACGAAATGTGAGAGACGTGAGTGAGTGTGCGAGTGAGAGCTTCAGTGAGTTTGAGGGATGGAGACTTCTACATAAGCATAAACGATGTACGAGTATAATAAATACATTCTTACACGGATAATTGGAGATTTTAATTGTCAATTATTGCCTTTTTTTCCAGTGAATTGTGGGGTTGGGAGCTGATGAAAGTACCCTGCTGTTCTTTTATTTGGGAGGAATGGGGGAAAAGTGATATAGAAATTCTAGTTCGCTTATTCATTCCTTTTTTTATAGTTTTCATTTTATGAAATTACGATTAGATTCCGGATGTTGGGGTATAGGGGGTTTTAAGGTGAGGGAAGACAAATACGATTTGTCAAGAATTCAATTTCTGTGAATTCTCAGCCATAAAAAAATGAAAAAATGTGAACGATAGCTGGAAAAATTTGTTCATTTTCTAGGAATTGGATGAAAAAAATTGAAGGTGATCTGTAGGGGATAAATAATTTTAATTAATGTCCAAAAATTCGAGGTGGTTGACAGGTGTAGGCGTCGCCATCTTGCTTGGATACACCCTCTTTTTGTCGCGAGTGGCGGCGACTCCACCTCGTATTTTTATACGTTTCTTAAAATTATTTATCCACTTTAGATCACTCTCAACTCACTTCATACAGTTTATACACAATGAACAAATGTTTTGAGTCATCTTTCCGATTTCTCTGTCTTCTTTTGGCTGAAAATTCATGGGTTAAATGTTTTCTATGTTTGGATTATTGCAGATTTTTATTGTCAATTATTTCCTTTTTTTCATTAAATTGGGGAGTTGGGAGAATGAGATTATCTTTTTTTTTGTTCTTTTTGACTATAAAGAACCTGGGAAGAATGATCTAAAAATTCTATTTCACTTATTTATTACTATTTTGATAGTTTATATTCGGAAAGTTGAGATAGAGGGGTTTAAGGATGGGGGAAGACAAATACGATTTGTTGCGAATTCAATTTCTATGAATTCTCAGCCGAAAAGAAATGAAAAAACGTGAACGATAGCTTGAAAAATTTGTTCATTTTCTAGGAATTGGATGAAAGGAGTTGAAGGTGATCAGAAGGAGATAAATATTTTTAATTAATGTTCAAAAATCCGAGATGATTGATAGATGCAATCACTGCCATCTTGCTGGGTACCCTCTCCCTCTACTGCAAGGAGCTTTAAAGATGGTGGCGACTTCACCTCGTATTTTTAAGCATTTCTCAAAATTATTTATCGACTTTAAATCACCCTCGATTCACTTCATACGGTTTATATAAAATGAACAAAATTTTTGAGCCATCTGTCAAGTTTTCCATCCCTTTTAAGATGAGCATTCATGGCGTAGAATTTTGAAGGCTGAACCAGTGAACATTGAGTTCGCAATTTTGCTCTTTAGCTGAGAAGAGAGGAGTACAAAGTAAGGTGGCTTATTCACTTAATTAATCATTACATTTTTGGTAAATGTTTATTGCAATTAAAAAAAAAATTTGTCAGGGGACCTTTAGCAGCGGAGGAAATTTTCACGATATTTGATGATGATTATGGGAGGAATGAAACAAAAGAGAAAGATTAATGAGGGCATGTGAGAGCCACGAGTGTAATGAATACATTTGCACGCGAATTCTTTGACCTATTGTCAATTCAGTTTTGTCAATTAAATTATGGAGTTTGGAGATGATTATTGGGTGGATCTTGTGGACTTGAGTCCTTCTACTCGAGAAACTTTTCCGGAGATTTTTGTCGAGACGAATTTCGAGTCTGATGACTATTTTGAGGAGTTTTGGGGACCTGAGGAGGCATTGGTTTTAAAGAGATCTGATTTTTTCGAGGAGGAGAAGAGGAAATGTGTCAAGTTCAGAAAGAAGGAAGCTTTCAAGAAGGTGGAAGAAGTGAAATGGGAAGGGGGAGGTGTTGGGAAGGTCCAGAATTTTGATTTTAGGGCGTGTCAGAGGATTTTGGGAGCTGAACCAGTGGAAATTGAGTTCCATAATTTCCAGCTGGGGAGAGAGTATAAAGTAAGTGGTTTATTCCATCCGAGGTTTTCAACTCGGGCTTTCAATCGAAGGCCCGAGTTGAAGACCCGAGTTTGTAGCAGCGATGTCAGACAAGATATGAATGTTTTCTTGGGCTCAAATGAAAGA